AAGAATGGAAAAAAACACCGCACCAAAAACCCCAGGCACTCTGAAAACTTCCCCGATACAACAGGTACACATCATTAGATTGCTTCTTATTTATATTAAGCTGGTAGTTATGTGGCATTCATTATTCAAGTAAAGCTATACTCAGTTGTTAGTGTTGTCTTGAAATTAAATGGTTTGAATTTCTCTTAGGCTTTAATGTAACTTAATAAAATAAATTGGTGAGGTGATACACTTTAAAGGCAGTATGGTTTCATAATCATTAGTGAAAATGGAGAGAATAAAAGCTCATTCCTGTTAGAAAACAAACCACAAGGAGGTGTAGGTCAGCAGCACCTGATAACCATATATTATATATTATATATGTTGATACGATTTTTCACATGCAATTCGTTTTTGTTCACATTGAATAGGACAGTGAAAAGTTTAGTTTGTTTCTAATGAAAGCTATACCGTCAGGCCTTCACACAGTGTTAATCATGAACTGTAAACATCAGTCTATGAATGTGAAGGGTTGTTAAACAGCATTTTTTAGGCTTAGGGCATTTACTTTTTTATTTCCTTCAGGTTTATCACCCCTCTTTCAATTAATTTCTCTTAGTTATTATAACATATGTAATTATATTCCATCTAAAACACTGTTGTTTATCTTCCAGTCTACTCTGATGATCTCTACCACATAGACCAGAGGTCCATGACAGGCATCATTGTTGGAGTGAGCATCGCCTTGTCCTGTATTGTAATATGTGCCTTAATCCTCATCAGTAAGGGAAGACCAAGGTACATTTTGTCAATTTTTACTCAATTTTTAACAGTTAACATTATATTCTCCTGAAATGTTCTAACGATATTATCTTTGTATGATTCATAGGAAATCCTCCAGTCAAAAGGTCCTTGCTGTTGAAGATCCTGGAGGTCCACAAGCTGGGTTTTCCTGGCCCAATGAACAGCATACAGAGAATGTTGAGGCCATTATACCCATGATCAGTCACAACTTTCTAGATACCAAGGTGAGACAAACAAAAAGTGTGATGATGGTTCTTCTGGTTTCAGAAATGTAATATATTTGAGTTATGTGTCTGATGTTCAAAAGAGCACACGACCATAAAAAAAAATCTGATCTGATTTATTTCTCTTTAGTTCCAGGTCGGGTCTAATATTGTCAAAAACAGTGGCGGTCCAATCAGCAAGAATAAAAGCAAGAGGTGGCTGCTCTTCAAGAGGGAAATGAGGAACACATCTGAAAGTGATGTGAGTGATGCAACATTATTCTGATCAATCCACTTTCTTTTTAGACTTCTCTTTTTTATGTTAATTTCCTTTTCTCTTCTCCTCCTCATTAGGCTGAGAGGAGAGCCAGCTTGTACGAGGCTGGAAAAACTGTTTTGAGGTATGAGGAGCATTTAGGTTCAGCGCCTCTGCCTCCTTCATCCCGCGAGATCATCTTCGGACCTTACCACTCGGAGAGCTCTCAGACCAGTGAGGGCAGCCAGGGGACGGGGGACTCGGGACACTACTCCAACGAAGAAAGCAACGAAGAGTTGAGCAACCCTTCCACCAGCCAAAGCTCCACTGTTGCTGAGCTGAAGCAGTCTTTTGTTGTGGAAAACGAGGAGATGCTGAGCCATCCCCTCCATCACTCCGCCTCTGATGCAACCCAACTCTGCTGCACCTCGCAGGGCTCCCCTCCTGCCCTGCACTCGGCCCAGGACGTTGGCTCCTGACATCAGGAGGCCTAAAGCTGCTCTCCAGCAGCCGGAGCTACGCCACTTCTACCTCGTTTGCTTCCTGAGTTGAGCCCCTTGGTTATTTCCTGAGGCACAAGGGTTAAGGAAGCCAGCTGCTACGATGGACGAAAGGTGTTTTCGCTTCGGATCTACCTCAGGATTTTGTATGGATGTTCGTTATAACATTTTATTTCCATCTTTTTAACTTTCTACCTGTTTGTCTGTGTTCGCCGTTATCTGTCCTAAACCAAAGCTCACCTACGATGAATGTTAAAAAGAATGTCAAGAATGTACTGTGATACATTTTCATTATATTTAATTACTTTTCACTGGAGCAGAGGGTGAAGTTGGACCCTTTTGACTGATTATCTACCTCCACATTCTTGTGTATACATTACTACCTCTTTTTCACCACATTATGTGCAGTATTATTTCAGACTCAGGGGACACACATTCATTGCCATGTCTTGCTACCTCTGTTCAGGCGTTATTTTTTGGAGGTGCTCATTTCTTTAATTCTCTGAACTTTTATTTTCACGGTTGAAAGATTTTTTGTTTCATTTGCATTGTCTTTGAATGATGTATGTTGTGAAAATAACAAGTGCTTTAGAAATGGTCAAACTATATGAGCTTTATCACATGATATCGTTTGGCATTTCCAGTGCACTGAACTCAAAGCTTTAACATGGCCTTAATATCGAAAGGGCTTTGCATACCATAGAAGACGAGATCCAAAGACGGGAAAAATTGTACCCAAAGAGTTTTTGATAAAACAAAAGATATTTTAAGGCAACCAAAAAGATAAAGATTATACATTAAGGGTGCGTTTGCCAAAAATATTGTTCTTGCCAATGATGTAAATTTCCCTTAGAATGGTGGTTTGAATGCTTTTCTTAGTGTACATTTTCATGATGCTTCATTCTGGTAAAAGCTTTAGCACAAGTCTCCCTGGCTTGTGCTCCGTTTGCTTTCTAAACCATTGCTAAACGCAGCGGTGATGCCGATGCTATTATCCAAAGAGTTGTCTCCTTCCTCAGATGGGTATGGCTTTCATTCACATGATCCTTGGTACTATGAGGTGGAAATATTTGACACACGACCAAAGATCTAGTTTGTCCTGCCAGTGATAGATGATGATATTTATTCTTTTTAAGAGAATCATCTGTTACCGATCACCGATGGGGAAGAATTGTTTTTCTCTCTCCATAAAAACTCCTGTCCAGGTGTGACAATGAAGGATACTGACTATCAAAATGGAAACCCTATGTGTGAAGAGCAACATAATCATTTTTTATATCTTTGTAATACAAATAATCCTAACCAAAGAAATTTGAAGTCTCTGTTATTTAGTGATTTTCTTTGGTTTCATTTACATTATTTGCATTTAAATGTGATATAATTTCCAATGGTTTTGATTGCTAGAAAGGCATTTTAACGTAGTTTCTTTTTTTAAAGCTTGAGATGTCCAACTGTTCTGCTGTCCTTTTATCACCAGGAAATCTTACCCAAATGATACTTAAGTAGGTTAAAATGAAAATTTGAATTTAGATGATGTCGTAAACAAAAACATTTCCCAATTAAAATGGGACATTTGACTAAATTAATAAGTTCAAGTTAAAAGTTTGTCTGTGTTATTCATTATTATGAAAGGTTCATTTGAAGCCACAGATAATTTTGCTGACTTAACTCAGGTGCCAAATGTAGATTTAGAGTGTAGACTTAAATGTTAATATTAAAGTTATGTTTTTGTTTTGTATTTCTGCTTTTGAATACCAAAATGTATCTTTTAATCCAAAGTGAGCAACAAAACAAATTATTTTAAGTGTTTAGATGTTGCAACAGACTTTTTGATAATCTCAAGATGATCCCAAATACTAGATAATAAAATTCTTATTGAAAAATGTTGTGTTGTGTGTGTGTGTGTCCGTGTGTGTGTGTGTCCGTGTGTGTCCGTGTGTGTGTGTGTGTGTGTGTGTGTGTGTGTGTGTGTGTGTGTGTGTGTGTGTGTGTGTGTGTGTGTGTGTGTGTGTGTGTGTGTGTGTGTGTGTGTGTGTGTGTGGTGTGTGGGGGGGTGTGGGGGTGTGTGTGGGTGTTGTATTGGTTTCCTCACACATTTTAAGTCTTTTTCACAATTGAGTAAAATCCACACATTTTCTGGTGTTTGGCTTATTGATCATAGAGAGCTATGTTTGACTCCATAATCATGACATTTAAGACAATGGTCACCAGCTGTATGAGATGATAACATATAGTGTTACATATTGAATCATTCACAAATGAAATAGCCTAAAATTGTGTTAATCTTTTAAAGTAAACTCATTACTTTTAACCTGTTCCTTAATAAAGGTATAAAAACCGGGTTTGGTGGAAATTTCCATTACAAAAAATCCAAACAGTTTTGAAAAAGAAAAAGGACATTACTATAATGAAAAAAAAGTAAATTACAGTATAAGTAAGTAAAATGTGGTTACAAACACTGAAGTTGAATGTGAAAATTAGATTAGATTATTATTTTGAACATGTCAAAAAAAGAAAAACAGTTAAAATCCCAACAACCTGACTGTTGGCAAACGTCACTCAACATTCTAAGTTTCCGTAGTGACGGTAACGATTGCACAGGGTTAGTCAGTGTGAAGGCAAAACATCACAGAGAAGCCCCATAAAGTCAGAGGTTGAAAAAGTATATATAATTAAGTATATAGAGTGTAGAAATACTTTGTTACAAGTAAAAGCCCTACAATCAAAATGTTACTCAAGTAAAAGTACAAAAGTATTAGCATCAAAATGTACTTATAATACCAAAAGTACTAATTGCAGATTACATTACACATTATTGATACATTTAAGTGTTTTTAAAGCTCATAAAGGTGCAGCTCATTTTAATTACTTTGTATGCTGCAGAGTAGCTTGTGAAATGTATTTCAGTTGTAACTAAAGTCTCATTTAAATATGCAAGGAAACTAAAAGTATAGGCTATTAAATAAATGTTGGAGAGTAAAAATATACAGTTTACCTCTAGCAAAACATTTAAAAATACTCAAGTAAGATACTAGTAACTGACAATTGTACAGTACTTAAGAGTAAAGCTACTTAGTTACTTTACACCACTGCATGAAGTTCATTGGTAGTGTGTAAACAAAGAAAGTGGTAAATGATGTCCTTTGAGTCCGCTAGATTAGAATACTGTATGTCTCCACGGAGAAGCGTAGTGTACCACAGGGCCAGCAGGGGGCAGGAGCTGCAGCTGCGGCGGGGAAATAGGAACGGGAAGAAGAAGAAGAGGCTGCTCGGTCTTGTTTGTATCGGTGCTCGCACGCAGCGTCTCTGCTGTGAAAATGCGCATCGAAAAATGTTATTTCTGCTCGGGACCAGTGTATCCCGGGCATGGAATGATGTTTGTAAGGAACGACTGCAAGGTATGTCAATGTATTTCCATATGAATAATCCTGTAACTTTAATAGAAGCTCGTGTTTCACTGTCAGCGTTAGCCCAATAACGATAGCTTTCTAGCTAGCATGCTAACATAACGTGCTGTGGGACTCACGTGGGATCAAAAAATGCGTTTTCTTTCTGAAAGACTGTTAACAACTCAACATGGTGATTATATTATTCGCATTAATTGGTTTATATTTCGAGGTTAGAGCGCATAATGTTGATACTTTTTGAAATGTTAAATCAACTTTGCCTTAAATGAAAATCTAGTCGATGCTGAGGCCGGACATTTAAACAGCAGGGCCTCATGTTTGGCTCGTGGAGTAGTTGCGCCCTCTAGAGGTTCACTTTGGACTTATCATAAACACCCTCGGTTATTGATCTAAACTTTCTTTGTGTTGGTTGAGATGTGTCAAGCGATACTTGCACAAAATAATGTGCATTAATTTTTAAGGCTTCAATTGGCAGAACTACATGTGTTTTAAAACCTTACAAAGTCACAACAAGGAGAAAACATAAGCTTTACAAAACACAAGATTCGAAGGCTAATAATTTCTTCATATTTTGATACATATTAATACAATAATGTATATAAAACCCACTAGTTTTCAACTTGTTATAATTTACATTTTACAATTTTAATCATTTGCTGTCCGTTTCCTTTCATGCTATTCTGTAAAAGAAATGTTATTGTGTAAATGAAACAGGATGAACAGAAAGAATCAGAATACCTTTGTTTGCTGCAGTTTCCCTTTGCTTACTGGGGAAAATGAATGGTGTTACAAAAGCATAACCATAAAAAATGTTTCCTTCTGCCCCTCTTTGTAAACAGTCGTTCAGATTCTGCAGATCAAAATGCCACAAGAACTTCAAGAAGAAGCGTAACCCTAGAAAGACCAGATGGACCAAAGCATTCAGAAAGGCCTCAGGAAAGGAATTGACCGTGGTGAGTGGTTTATCAATAGAGCTCTATAGCTGTCATAGATTTGTTTTACTGTAACTTAACACATTTCCTTTCTTTCAGGATAACGCATTGGAGTTTGAGAAACGAAGAAATATGCCTGTTAAATATAACAGAGCTATTTGGGATAAGACAGGTAATGTAGAAATCTATTTCTTATGTGTAGGTTTTTTTCCTGTTTTGATTCTTGAGCTGAGTAGTCATGCTTCACTTACATTTTTTACAGTGGAAGCAATGAAGAGGGTGGAAGAAATCAAACGGAAACGACAGGCACGATTTATCATGAACAGGTGAGCAAGGCGTTTTTTTTTCATTCTTTGATGTTTCTTTTGAGTTCATCTTTCTGCATCTTAGAGACACCATCTTATGTTAAACTGTTATTGATTCAACAAATACTGGATTTACAGGATTTGAAAAACAGTGCTTGCCTTACCTTTTTACTTGTTCGCCTCCACTTTATAGATTAAAGAAGGGCAAAATGTTGGAGAAGGAGGAGGCCATCACCGAAGTGAAGAAAAATATTCACCTTATCAGAGCACCACATGCAGGTAAGCATTTTTTAGGAACCAAATTTAGCAACGGTATACAACTAGTATCCTGTAATCATGTAAAAGTATTTTTAATTGATGAAAAAAAATTTTGTTCACTGATAGCATCTGACCCATTTAGTACAATAAACACAATGAAGCTTGAGAAATCAAACAAACAACACCTAATGTCCGGACATAAAACAAAATTATTTTTCATATCAGAGGTGGATATTGATTGGAAAGACATTTGTCTTGGGTAAAATCTAGAGATGATGTATATTTTGTAATGTTTGTTTTCACTAATATACATAAGATACGGTTGTCCTTTTAGCACTGTTAAAAATCTGTTTGTGTTTGTTTGTTTATAGGAAAGGCCAAACAACTGGAAGCCAAGATGGTGCAGAAGTTGCAAGAAGACGTGGACATGGCGGATGAAGATCTGTAATCTTCAGAAAGACTCTCATGACCAAGTTAACATGTATTATATTGTACTCCTGTTTGGAATTAAAATGTCCAATTGGCTGATGATGGACTCTGTAATCCTTTTGAGTTTTAAAAAGCTTAAGAGGACTGAACGCATTGATCTAACAATTATCTGCCCCTAAAGCAGCAGTAATTAACCACATGCCTCCAAGTTTGTTTGTTTGTTTTTTCCTGTGTGGTAGTTTGTGCTTTAAAGAATGTTCTCGATCATTTTGCATAGTAAAGTGTATTAGAGTAATACAGAAAAGTTTAAAAAGGGTAACAAACAAAAAGGTAATAAACATCTTTTCAACTATTTTTTCTTAACTTTTGTTTTTGTTGCGACATATTCACTATAAGCATAGTATTTATACTTCAGCTGAATATACTTTGGCTAAAATATTTTGTCAGAACGATAAACCTTTCAATTAGCAAATTACTTGTGGATATTTGTTAAGGCCTTAGTTTCCCATGGTCATTAGCTGCCTTTCCCACACTGCAACCAAATTATTTAAAAAATGTATAATCTAAACATTACATCATATTTAACAGTGTAGGCTTAGTCAATGTTCATCATTTATGCATTCCACAAATGTGTTATTTGTATTTAAAAATACATTGAAATGTCACATTCAGCCTCCAAATCTAAACTGTTAGGCTATAACAGGGATAAACATTACATATATTCATTATCTGCTAGCAGAGGGACAATGTCAGTTATTTTTACACATAAATATGAAGGCTTCAATGTGGGGAAAGTAAGTCTGATTGGTATTTACCACAGACCACATCAGATGGGATATGTGTTATTAATATTGGTAAAACATAGAAAAACACAACAAAATAACCAATCTTTCAAGCCTAACAAGTGCAAACAACTATATTCCTACATTTTAATTAGACAATTCTGATTATTGAAGTTTATTTTACAGAGGCAACATTGAGTTATGGAAAGTTAAATATGAATTTACAAGTGTTTATATAAAACATTAAAGATGTTACACAGATGAATTTGGAGCATAACGCAACATAGCCTATTCAATGTTTAATTTTTTTTATTAAAATCAGACAACAATACGACATTATACTTGTTTAAAATAATGTTTTAACAAGTTTTTACAAATCAGCTTTAATATTGTATAGAATATACCTTTTGGGCCACAACGTATATGATTAAAATAATAAACTGAAGGAGCCTGCACCACATCCGCAGCTCTTGCATCGACTCCCCGGCCTGTTGCTGTACAGGCTGTTCCCTCGCCCGCCGAGTCGCTCCCAATAACGTTTCCACCTTTCATATCCCAGAAGAGCTGGTTGAACGGCTAGCGCTACACCCGCAGTTTTGCGAGAAAACCAGGGATTAAATACAACGATGTCTGAAGAGGTTGAGGGAACAAGAACTGCGGAGGAAAAGCAGGTAAATTACTAGTGAAAAAATGCTAATTTAACCACTTAGCCTGCGCTGCTAGCACGTCGAATCTTGTGAATTAGCACACGGCTAGCAGTAAGCTAGTTAGCTAATGACATGAACGAGGCTAACCGCCAAGCAATGAGCTAATAGCTCCTAGCATATATTGGTAAACTAAAACAAAAGCCCTGCTGTTTCGGAGTCAATAGCATATCTGAAGTGGGTTCATATGTAGCTTAAGTGAACTAGCAAGATTCATGCTAGTGCAAACACCAGTTGGAGTTGTACCTTATGGCGGCCCTTGCATATTTTGAAATATAAATTGTACGTTAGCCATGCTAGCTGTATTTGGTACCATAATATCATTGCCGATTCATGAATCATTTATGTCGTATGCATTTTTAACAACAGTGTTCATCTCCTATTATGTGAGCTGAGTGGTGCATTTTCCATCCATACACTACTCTTCTCTGCAGGAAATGGAGGACACGGTAATCAGTCCTGAGAAGGCAGAGGAGGCCAAGCTGAAGGCCAGGTATCCTAACCTGGCAGCCAAGCCTGGTGGCTCTGACTTACTGAGGAAGAGACTTCAGAAGGGGGTGTGTTTCTTATGTAAACCTGGCTAGTTCTTTGCTGAGTAAATACCAATACTAATATTCTCACTTTATATATTTTTGTTTTTCCCAGCCAAAGTATTTTGACTCTGGTGACTACAACATGGCAAAGGCAAAGATGAAGAATAAACAGCTTCCATCAGCCCCAACGGAGAAGACCGAGATCACAGGGGGGCACATCCCAACACCTCAGGATCTGCCTCAAAGAAAGACATCAATCGTGGCCAGCAAACTGGCTGGTTAATGGGTTTTATGTTTACCGTTATGTTACCATTCCAACCCCCACTTTATATCTTCTTTTTGGTTTATTTTTGTTTATGTTCACCTTTTTATATGTATTCTCTAAGAACAAGTAATGAACCAAGCCAAATTCTTGAGAAAAATGGCCACTGCCAGGCACTGGATTGCCAGTGAGCTAAGTCCAACAAAAAGTTAAAGCTGCAAATCCTTCTCAAGATCTTAAAAATGCTGAATAGTGATTGATGACAAAAAAATATTATAAATATGAGTAGAATTTAATGCTATCTTATACATTTTCACTTTTTAAGGATATATACCTCCATACAAATTGCCTGTCTAACAGCAGCTAAAGAGCAGCAGAGGAATCTTAATCCGCCATGTAACTGATCATCACAGGCAAAAATACTAGTCACCACCACAGACCATTGGCATTGATGTACTCAAAAAGTAGAAGTGTAATTCACAGATATGTATATCAGTTTCAAATGGTTTTGACTATTCTACTGCTCGTATGGAGGCACATATTTCACATAAATAGTGAAAAGTGGTGAAATCCTGCTTTTTTGTTTCTAACCCGTGGTTGTTTCCCTTCCTCTCTCTGTGAAGCCGTTCGATTCTGTGCTTTCCAAGTACTGAAGATTGGATCACACATGCTTTGTAGCCAGTTGTATTTAATTCATTTTAGTGACATTGGTTTGCAATGACTGCTGCTGGTCTCCATCTCATCCTGACATCTAAAATGGCCTTAAAAGTAATGAATCGTTGTTCCTCTTGAGCAATATTTGCTCCCTCAGTGAGAATCTTAGTTATGCATTTTGCCTGAAATGTCTGTCACTGTCTGACTGGAATCGCTTAGGATTTTATGGAAAGAAACTCCCATGACATGTCTGGAGTGTGCATGTGCATTTACTGTGCAGTCACACTGTGCCATTTGTTTTGTAAATAAAATAGTTTTGCATAATATGTTACAAGTACACTTATTCAATTGAATGTTTCCTTGCTTTTATTTTTGCCCTCAAATGTTGCTAATACTACCTGCACTAAAAGTAGCCCAGTTTGTGGTGTACTCACCTAAGATTAGAAACAACTTACATGGTTTGGTATTTTCATTATATTTACTGAAATATGAATCACTAAAATTGAGGAACATGTGTGAATAAATTCAACTAAGTAACCACAATGGATGCTTGATTAATGTCAATGTAAGTGAGTTAATTGTGTTGAGACTAGAGCAGAACATATATTTAAAACATGCAGTCATTTACAACGTTATATGGTTGATACCTTGACCAATGATTACAAGTTTTATTGTGGAGGCAAACTCCCATATGGCCTCAGGTCTAACCTCTTATGTAAAGCCTTACCCTGCCAAGTAAAAATAAAAACGTAAGTATATTTTCATCTGCAAGTGGCAAAAAAATAACTTTCAGATTAAATGAAACAAAGTCTTCTTATTGTAGTTTATTACATATTAGTGATAGTCAGTTACTGAAATCATCTTAAATACAATACTATATTTTTTTGATGTAAACTGCTGGTTATGTGCAAGCAAAATAAACTAGTTAGCTTCAACACACGCTGCCGTGTGTCCCATAACAATCCCTTTTTAGATGTATATCTGTAAAGTTACCCTTCTTACATTATGACCAAAATGAGAGAGCTATTAGGTCTCATGGTGTGATTTTCCATCCCATGGCAGTAATGTTTACACCACCTGAGCCTTATCCTCGGTTCACTCAGCAGAGTTACTGCAACCGTCGCCTGTACTTACATGTACAAATAAAACTAAACAATTTCACTGTGACACGAACCAACTACAGAGAGATCACAGGAACCACCAAGAGGTGTTTAACAAAAAAAAAACACACAATTACCATGAAACATCGAGCAGGAGGCACAAAAAGGTGCAAAAGTACCACATACAAAAAGATGACTACAAAAACAACTAAACAACTACAAAATGACACACACAAACTTGATTTAAAATGACTATAAAGACACAGAAAAGAACAGTCAGAAGATTAAAAACAACTACAATCTGTGCGTCCTGCTCATGGTCCTGCTACTGTGTAGGAGAGTTGACGGGGCCTTCCCCCCCCCATTACTGTGCCCGGGGGGCCCATTGTTTCAAAATCCACCCGTGCCAACAGTTGCCAAGAGCGTGTTGGCCGCTAGGTGGCGGGAAACACGCACGAGAGCAAAACGTGTCAGGGCACGCGCAGCTGACAGCAGACAGACTGTCCTCCGACGAGAGCAGCTCAGAGAAGTTAACTTTTCCTGCCTCGGGAGTCAGTGAAATGTTGCTTCTTTTATCTGCGGGCAGAGGACGTTTCTGAGGACTCACTGAGGGACTTGTGAGACATGGCAGCCTCTGAACTTTACGCGAAGGTAGGAACAGTTTTTCTGTGACGGTTTTTCCGGCTCATTCAACGGTTTCCTCTTGCTAATGTCACGCTAGTCCAAAATGTAAATTAAAAACGTTTCTTTGAATAACGTTGGTTTACTCGCGTTAATTAGTCAGGGCTGTTTACAGAACAGTTTTTAGCCTTTTGATAACTAAATGTATTGCTTTTACAGAGGTAGGAATTAACTAAGTACATTTACCCAAACTGTACTTAAGTACACATTTGAGGTACTTTACCTGAGTATTTCCATGTTATGCTACTTTGTACTTCTACTCCACTACATTTAGAAGATAAATCCTGTAAGTTTTTGTTTATTTTAACAAAAATGCATCTCTAAAAATTAAACTTGGACAAAGTCTTAGAAGTCACAAAAGAGTCAAATTATTTTAGTATTTTACATATTAAGTAAATCAGATATTTTTCTACAACACTAATATGCTACTTGATGCAACACTATTATTTATAAATGTCACATATACACACATAATTATATAAAGGCTATTTTCCTGCACAATGATTACTTTTATATTTAAAGTACGTTTTGCTGACAATTCTTTTGTACTTTTACTTGTAGTGAAGTATTTTGACCATAATGTTGGTATTTTTACACAAATAAAGCATTTGAATACTTCTTCCACCACTGAGTTTT